TTCCGGCTTTAAGATCACCCACTGCTTCTTGAAAAATTTCCATAGAGTATATGTTAAACAACAGTGGTGATAGTATACATCCCTGACGGATGCCACGTTTGATTTTGATATCGTCGGATTCTCCTGCGTCTGTCCGGATAAAAGATATTTGATTCCAGTACAGATTTCTGACAATTCTTAAATCACAGGTGTTTATTTCAATATTGGTTAATATCTCCATCAGCTTGTCGTGCTTTACTGTATCGAACGCTTTATAGTAGTCAATGAAGCACGCATAAATGTCGCAGTTCACGTCTCTACATCATTGAAATAGCACTTTTATACTAAAGAGGGCCTCTCTCGTACCCACTGCATTCCGAAAACCAAACTGTGTAACTCTGATTTTTTCTTCGCACAGTCTATATACCTTTGATGTATGATTTTTAGAAATAATTTTAAAATATGACTCATTAAGCTGATGGTTCGGAAATCACTGCAGGATACGGATTTTGTTTTCTTTGGTAAAGCAATAAAGGTCGACTTCAGCCATGTTCTTCGTATTACTCCGCTTAAATATATTTCATTAAATACTTTTGTTAGGTGTTATTAGTTTTGTTAGGTGAATACCGTCGGTGTTAAATAGTTTTATGAGCTCAGCATATGCATTGTCAGGTCCAGGAGCTTTGCCGTCTTTTAGTTGTAATATGGCTTTTTGCACTTCATCTGATGTGATTGGTAAGTGGTCATCACATATGTAGGATGTAGGTTGTTCGGATCTAGTATCATCAAAGAGTTCTTGTATGTATTTTGTAAATATGCGGATTTCTTGATTTTGTCTGTGATGGTATTCCACTGTTGGTTTCGCAGTTTGTTAGCTGTGTTGGATTTCTGACGACCAGCCGCTTGTTTCACCTTTTTATGATCTTAAACGTATCATGTTTGTGTTCTAACAACTCTATCTCTTCACACTGTGATTTTAACCAATTTTCTTTGGCCTTTAATATTTCGGTTCTTATTTGTCTCTGAATCTTGTTGTACATTATTTTGTTGTTCTTTGATTTTCTTCTTTCTTCCATAAGTTGCAGTATATTGTCATTCATCCAACTTTTTTTCTTATCTTTCTTTTCTATTAGATGTTCTTCTCCGATCTTGTTAAAGGTTTTACATATTTTTTGGAGTGATTCTTCGGCATTATATGTTTGCTCCATATTACTTAGCTTTTCTGAAAGAATCTGTGCGACTGTTTCTTTTGTTTTGTTATCTTTTAGTCTTCTCATATCGCACTTTTTGTTACTATTCTTTTTTGTGACCTTCTTGAATCTAAACTTAAATTTACCAACAACAGGAACATGATCTGATGATACATCAGCACCTGGGTAACTCTGAATTCATAGGCATCCATTACGAAATCTCTTGTTCACCATTATGTAATCAATTTGATTCCGTATTACGTGTCCTGGTTGATCTTGCGGGGAGACCCAGGTATACAAGCGTCTGGGTGGTAGTTTGAAGAATGTATTTAGTATTGCAAATTTTTCTTCCTCTACAAACAGTTTTAATCTTTCTCCCCTTTCATTTCTCTTCCCTAGACCAAAATCACCTATGAATTCACCGCTTCTTCCTTTACCAATTTTCGCATTGAAGTCACCCATAATAATAGTTATATCTTCTTTTTTAAGTAGTTTAAGTGAATTTATCAACAACTTATAAAATTGCTCTAGCTCTTATTCTGGTTTATCGCTAGTGGGGGCATACACTTGTAAAATATTTAACCTGACGGGACTAGTATTCAGTTGGATTATTATTAATCTTTCAGAAACAGGTATAAAATTTGTAACATACTGACGTAATTGGGGAGAGACGATTATTCCAACCCCATATAACCAGCAAACATATCGTCGGTGAAAATATGCCTGTCAACTGGAAATATTCCTGTTTTTCAGAAATAATTTATAATTCTCTGTAGTAACATGGCACGGCCATGTGCTATTCCAACACATACAGCCACGTGATAGATTTCAACCAATTGCAGCATTATAATATATTTTAAAAGGTTTCATCAATGCCACATCCAGTAATTGCATCATGTGGTTACAATGGGGTGAAACTGTTAGAATGTGCACGCCATTAGCTCTTGTTAGTTTTATTGCCGTTCTATTGTAGCAAATTAGACGCATTCTTCTCTTTTCAGAGAAACCTGAACATTTTATAGTGTTGCCTCACATGAACGAAATTGGAAGTGGTCATCTAACCTGACTGATGAGCCAAATCCAAGGTCCCATTTGGTGCTCCATTTATCACGTAGCTCTTGAAGTGCACTCTCGGAAATACTAGAGCAGGATGTATTGTATTTTCAGCTGAATTTATAAACAAAACTGTAGTCACCAGAGTTCCTCTATCACCACTTACAGCAGTTGCTACTTGTTTTTGGCCCTTTTGTGAAATCACACGAGAAGGTTCTTGGTTAGTTTCAGTTTTTGTTTTATCCATATTTCAAATTCTGGATGAGTCGCAGAGTTCTGGGTATCTCTTGATTAATTTTTTATAATTTAAAAAAAAGCATTCACATTATGTTTGTTAAATAAAATTACACGTGCAATACTGCATCCTTTAGCAGCACGGAGAGATAATCTTGGGTGGCGTTTCATAAAACCCTATAGCCAGTCTTTTCTTGTCATTCTTGGAGCTTCCAAGTTTTTAAGACAGTCAATATTGTTCATTTTGTCCATCTTATGTGCTAGTTTTCGAGTTTCTACATTGTTTAGACTATAATATTTTTGAACACTTAATTAAATATGCCTCAAGGTCGTCTTCCTGTTTGTCAGTAAAAACCTTTCTATATAGTATCGTTTCTTAATTTCATATCATGCTCGCCATCTGGGTTATCCCTAAACTTCTTAACGTACATAGCAACAGTTTGATATTTTAATACAAATCTTTTAGCAGCATTTCTTATCGATTCACCACCTAGGATGGTTGCTACATATTCTTTCATAGAGTCGGCATCGAAATTTCCTTTTGTTTTTTTTTTTCTTCCTATTTCTTACCATCTTCAGACAATCTGCAATAAGGAAAAATCCTTTTTAAATACCTAATAATATATATATATATATATATATATATATATATATATATATATATATATATAACTAAATATATATAACTTTTAAGCACGTTATTTTAAAAAAGATGTCTTTATTTTCTATTGCGTTTGTCTGATAGTGTCCCATATTCTTTTGCCTAAGGGTGCATTACCCGATGTGTCCAGACTAAATGTAAAAATATAACCTGAGAGTGTCATTAGTAACAAATGTGAATAGTACAGGTTATACAGCAATAAATGGACTTAAAACTGGTAGCAATGTTAATTATTCTCAGTCTTATCTTCTAATAAAAAACTCATCTTACCTTCAATCCAGAAATTTGACTTTCAACCACCAAAAACTAACTTTTCACATTATGACATGAACCCTTTACTGCACTGTTCTACAGACTCAACTACAATAGTGTGAGTAGTAATGGAATGTTATGATGTCAGTGTTGCCAACCCAAGTCCTTAAATTTACCCACAATATCAATGTCTGAAGCTGCCCCCTGTCTGAAGGAGTTCCCTTCTTCCCAATGCCTTTATGGTTCCGCAGCAATGGCTATTTCCTGCCAAGTAGGTCTTACTCAAAAAATCGTAACAAAAAAAAACAAATTTATTTAATGTTTAATATTTAATGTTTGTATTTTGAATGATTTTCGAAGTGAAAATCGAAACATCAATAATAAAACTCTTTTAAACTTTAATAGTATACAAGGCAACTATCGAACACAGTGATTAATTAAATCTTGCCCAAGTACTTTCGATCAACAGATCATCTTCAGGGTCATCTGAAATAAGCCAAGAAACGCTTTTTTATAAGAAGAAAGATTAATTCACTTGGATAAAAAACTCCAAGTTTATGGTTGAAAAAAGTTTTTATGTGATAAACGTTTATAGACTTACTTCGTCAGTTGTGGCCTATCCGACATGAGTAGAATGTCATAAATGTAAATTTGGACATAACAATACAATACACAAAGACAAACAAACACTTTAAAATTTTTTAAACGGAGAAGCTACATGTTATATAGAAAGCGGATACAGAATGGGCTCCCGGTCTAGCGGAAATGTTGAGATGACATGTGACAAATGACAGCTTGTAAAGGGCAGTTATGTGATCTGCACCTTTCAAAATTCTATGAAACTAAATATTGACCAAAGGTCCAACTGACACCACTATAGGAAATCAACTGATGAAATATAAAATTAATATATTTTTATGTAGATTGAATAATCCAAATCTCACACTCAAACCTGTCTATAATAATTAGGATGTTAGTTTGAGAGCGATGGAAGTTGACATAAAGTATGAATGTAAGAAAAGACTAAACAATATAATTAGACAGTGGATGGTTGACTACAATAAAATGGTCCACCAAGCGCTATCAGTACTGTAAAAAAGGAAAAATCTTAATATGCAGTTAAATTACTAAAACTTAAAATCAAAATTGAAAGCAAAATATATAAATGGGTTATAATCCAAGTAGTTCAGTTGAATCCACAGTCAATGGAAGAACTTTAAATTAATATTGAAATGCTCAGTGCATGAAGTCTAAACAGTCGAGCTGGGTCTTCTACGAATTGAAGCTGTAATAAAGTTTTTAAATATAGGATTAAATTTAGTACAATTTAAATTCATTTGAGTATTAAGACAGTGAGAGTTTTCATTTGTTTCCCTTGTAATCTCCAAATCTTCCAATAAATCCATTTCAAGATAGTTTTTCTTTTTACTATTGTCTCTAAAACTCTTTTAAACTTAAATTGCGGTTTATTCACAACGAAAATAGTATTTACTTTATTTGCTGGGTGGTGTCCAGTAGTCGTCTTAATGTGTGGGTTTACGGATTAATTAAATTGAACAAATGAAATTTATTATTTAAAAAATACCCATATATTTATACAAAAATTAAAATAAACAATCTTAGACTAAATCTTATACACCAAATTGCACAATATATTTCGAAGCCTTACACGTGAAGGTACTCTTGTGGTCATCGTAAGCATAGCTGTAAGCATCTGGGCATTGAGATTTAAATACTTGCTGGGGGTAGTTCCTTGGCCAAGTTGAACTCTTGCAAGTTTTGGGTGTTCTGAAATTATTTCTGCAACAGTATTGGTCTGTGTTGAAAGCAAGGCAAGCTGATTTACATGCTAGGGTATGTCCATTTGAACTCTTTAATTTGAGTTCCTTGGGACAACGGTCGTTAAGAGGTTTACGGCATTGAGCCTTTCTGCAACTGTATTTGCCACCATCTCCCCGTCCTCCTATAGGTCCAAACTGAAAAATTAAAATATTTTATAGGTTAATCCCTGAATAACAAACATATTTCAATTTAATTTTATCCAAATTGTTAATAATTTATGAAATTAAGTTTGCGAATGACACTAAACTTTTTGCAAGGGTAGTGTCACACATATTGAAATACAAATATCCTGACAAATCCGTAAATAAGAATTCATAGGCCAAACTACAAAAGAAAATATATAGACTAAAGTGAATCTACGACAAAACAACTAAATTTGGATGTTAGAGGTGGCATTCGGATTTTTGCATAAAAAGTTGTGTGATCTCTATTCTTAGCGATTTTTTCGTTATCTTGCACGTAGATTAATGTTATTAGGTATTGCCACGGGTAGCGGGTAAAACTCCTCTGGATAGGCCTATCAGGGAAAATAAATTAATCCCTGCCCTCTGCAGATTCCAGGTGTTTCCCGACCCGGGAAACTAGTACCTGCTTAGCGGTGGCAAGAATTCCTTAGGTACGGTGTGGATGGCGGAAGTGAGAATCCCTTGATTTTAGGGATTATATAGAATCACTATATGTCGTGAAGAGCAGCAGCGATCATCATTACCAGCTGAAGGCGCAGAAGAAATAATCCTGGATCGGCTTGAAATTAGGCAATCACAAGCATGACTGGAGCAGTTTAAATGGTTGTGATACTGCGATGGAAAAGGTCATGGTCCTTGGACACGAAGATCCGGCAGGAGAAGACAAGCACCTAGGGCTTTCCAAACTGTGATCCAGCGAAATCTCTGTGACAATGGAAAAGAAATAAGAATAAAATCAGGTATCAGAATAGGCATATAGAATGTGAGAAGTCTCTACGCGCCCAGTAAGATACAAAACACCATACGTGAGATGATAAGGCTCAATATACCAGTTCTTGAGCGAAATGCAGTGGCCGGGGACTGGTGAATGTAGCATAGACGACCACGATGTATTCTATTCCGGAAACGAAGGCAATAACCACCGGAATGGCGTCGCACACATTGTACATGAAGAAGTCTCTTGCTGTATTATATATGTAAGTTACATTTCGGACAGAGTCATCGTGATGCAATTAAACTCAAAACCAGTAAATATAAATCTGGTCTAAGTTTATGCGCGCATAGCCAGCAATAGTGAAGATGACACAGATAATTTTTATGATTATATAAACAAAGACATTACTATAATAATGGGGGACTTCAATGCCAAAGTAGGAAAAGGTAGACAAGAAAACATTGTAGGAAATTTTGGACTTGGACAACGTAATGACAGGGGATAGCGTTTTATAGATTTCTGAGTAGAGAACAATCTATGTGTGACAAATACATTCTTCAAACTACCAAAGCGTCGTTTATACTTGGAAGTGACCCGCAGATACTAAAGAGAAGATTATAAGAAATCAGATCGATTATATAACAATTATCGATATTCAATCAAAATAACTAAAACATTACCTGGAGCCGATGTCAACACAATAAATGACTGATGAAATATTGAAACTAATGGGAAACAGACGAAAACAGAAAAATAAAAACAATGAATAATGCAATACAATTCAGAAAGAAATCCGAAGAAAAATCCGGGATGCAAAAGAAAAATGGTACAGCAACAAATGTCTTGAAATAGAAGAACTGCAGAAAAAGAATGACACGTTTAATATGTAAAAAAATGTGAAAGAAATAACTGGAACATATGTGTCAACTGCAAGTAGTTTACTTAATAATAAATAATATATTATATAAATAATATATATTTATAATAAATAATATAAATAAAGAAATAAGAATACGCATTGAAAAAGTCAGAGCCGCCTTCTATAAATTAAAGAAAATTCTTATTCATAGAGATATTCTGCTACATATTCTCCACATTACTGTATGGTATGGAGAGCTGGACACTTACAGAGACATTATTTTAAAAATTTTAGGCCTTTCAGATGTGGATTTATCGACGAGTATTGCGGATAAGTTGGGTTAAATAAATAAGAAATAAAATAGTTTTACATCGAATGAAAAAGAGCACAGAAATAACAAAAACGATAAAAACTCGAAAGTTACAATATTTAGTCATACAATGAGACATCCAGAGAGGTATAACCTTCTAAACCTCATAATACAGGGTAAGATCGTCGAGAGGAGAGGCCCAGGCCGAGGAAGAACATTATAGCTCCGAAATCTACGAGAATGGTATCAAGAGACCACCGCTAATTTATTTAGAGCTGCCGTAAACAAAGTTATTATTGCCAATATGATCGTCAACGTTCGATAATCGGACAGGGTACTGAAAGAAGAAGAAGATTGCCACATCAATAATTAGTGTTTTTTGTCCTAATAGTTTATAAACTAATATGAGTTCCAGTCTATGTGAATTTCTGCTGCGATCAGCATCACGTCAGTGTTCTCAGAATTTTGTTCATTTTTTGATAGTTAAGGCAGTCAAATCCATTTTGATAATCTATAAAAGATACACATACACTAACATGTATGTCTTGCATTGTTCTGTTAACACATTTAAGGCAAAAAGAGCTTCTCGTGTTCCCAGTTCTTTTGAAAATCGGAATTAAGTGTAACTTATCTAAAATTCATTTAACTTTCAGTAATATTTTTAGTCTAGAATCCATTATAACCAGATTGTGATTACCGTGAATGTCTCCTGGGTGGAGAAGATTCGAAACTCCACAATACTAGAACGTTTCAGCAAGACTTCTTCTTCTTCAAGTGCCTTCTCCGCTACGGAACCAGTCTCTTAAATTGCGCAGCCAAGATATACGTCGTCTCCCCACGCTTCGTTTGTACTGAATCATTCCTTGGATAATTAACTGGAGCAATCGGTACTTTTTCCCTCTCATCACATGACCGAGATATTCCAACTTTCTTCTCTTGATGGTGATCAACAGCTCCCGTTCTTTGTTCATTCTTCAAAGAACTACACTATTTGTTATTTTGTCTGTCCAAGGTATATTCAAAATTCTTCTATATATTCACATTTCGAAGGCCTCTAGTATCGAAAAGATGTAGCATCTAACAATCTCATTTTCAGGTTTATGTTAATGTCATGACTTCCCAGAATGTCCTTCATATTAACAAAAGCAGCTCGAGCCTTTCCAATTCTAGTTTTTATTTCTTCTGTGATGTCATTGTTGTTATTAACACTTGTTCAGAATATTTATATTTGTGCACCCGTTCGATTTCGTTATTGTGAATGTACAGGTTTAGTCAATCTTTGTTTTTTTTAATCATGAATTTTGTTTGCTTGACATTCATTGTTAACCCTTTTTCTTCACTAGCTGTGACTACCTTGATTAAAATGGCTTGCAGGTCTTCTACTGTCTCCGCCATTAAAACGGTATCATCTGCGTATCTTATATTATAAATTGGTTGGCCGATAACTTTTATCCCAATATCTTCTTCTTCCAATGCTTTGTTCATAATTTCTTCCGAATAGAGATTAAATAGCATTGGTGACAGCACACATCCTTGTCTAATTCCTTTTTTAATTTGAATTTCTAGCAAGACTACTTAGATCATAAAAACATCAAGCACAGAAAGCTGGAGTATTTTGGACATATAATGAGAGATCCCAAATATAGGTTGCTACAAAATATCATGCAGCGGCGGCCGGCCAGGAGAAGTAGGTGAAGGTGAGGTTCACCAAAAAAATATAATTAAATTGAGACAAATTAATAAAAAATAAAAGCAACAATTCTTCTTCTTCATGTGCCTTGTCCGTTCCGAACGTTGGCAATCAACATGGCTATTCTGACTTTGTTTACGGCAGATCTGAATAGTTCAGCAGATGACAATCCGAACCATTGCCGCAAATTTTGGAGCCACGAGTGTCTTCTCCTCCCTGGACCCCTTCTGCTGTCTATTTTCCCTTGAGCGATCAGCTGTAGTACTCTATATTTATTATGTCTCATAACGTGACCCAAGTATTCCAACTTTCTTTTCTTTATACTTATTCCTACCTCTCTATCTTTACCTATCCGGCGTAGTACCTCTTCGTTGGTCACGTGCTCAGTCTAGGATATACGTAATATCCGTCGGTAAGCTTACATTTCGAGGGCATTTACTTTTTTCATCAATGTTGCGGTCATTGTCCACGCCTCCGTTCCATATAACAAAACCGGGAATACATAACATTTCAGAAGTCGAATTTTGAGAGGTAGGGTGAAGCTTTTAGAGGTGAAAATTGCTTCATTCTAGTGAATGATGCTCTTGCCTTTTCTACTCTTATACGTATTTCCTTCGCTTGATCCCAATTTGATTTAACTGTTGTTCCCAAGTAGATGTACGAATCCACGTGTTCAATTCTTTCATTATCTAATATCAGTTGCTGTGGTGGTTGTTGGGTTTACTTAGTAACATCCATTTGGTTTTTGTGATATTTAGTCTGAGTCCGTATTGTGCACTTGTTTTTTGTATCTTACCCATTAGGCAGCTTAGTTCCTCCATGCTACTTGCTAGAATCACATTATCATCAGCATACCTTATGTTATTAATTTTTTCTCCATTTCTCCTTATGCCTTCTGTGCTTTCCTCCAGCGCTGTTTTAAATTCTTCTTCTGAGTATATATTAAAGAGAATAGGAGACAAGATATTAAGAGACAAAGGCAACAATATTATAGCTAAATTCTGAAATTAATTATTTATTCTATTTTAATTAATCTAAAAATTAAAAAAAGACATCTAGCTTTATTACCGGTGCGGTAGGTACTTGATGGTCAAGTCCTGCCCTGTGTCACTTGTCGTCTATGATCCAGATTCAGGAATAGGTGAATATCATTTTTGAAATGCGAAATTCATGGTAACGTGACGTCAGCCTGTCGCTAGTGATAGTTGAGAAAAATAGCTAGTGAAGTTCCGTTAAAAAATTTATTATCCGTGTTTACCCACTGGCCACTTATTGCATGGGTACCTATTTAGTATTCGCAGCAACAATATTTTGAAATTTAGTCTATTATATAGACATTTTTTATATAGTATAGTGTATAGTATAGTATTTATTAGTTTAGTTTTTATAGAACTATACATTTTTTTAACGGATTTTTAATGAGATTTGGGTCGACCAACCAAAACTTCAAAGCTTTCCTCATCTTCACTACTTTCTTAGCCCACGAGCCGCCGCTTCTTCATCTTCTTCTTCTTCGTCTAGCCATTCACGTCCACATCTGAACATAAGCCTCTTCAAGTCTTCCTTTCCATTGTTTTTTATTGTATGCTACTTGTAGCCAATTTTTCCCGGCAGTCCTTTTCAGATCATCTGTCCATCTCATAGGAGGCCTGCCTCTGGGTCTTTTGTGTTAGTATGGTCTCCAGATTAAAATTGATCTGTGCCACTTGTTTATATCGCTCCTAGCTACATGTCCAGCGTATTCCCATTTCAACTTTAATGATTTTTGCACCACATCGGTGGCTTTGGTTTTCTGTCTTATCCATGTGTTTGTTTTCTTGTCCTTAAGTGATATACCTAGCATTGATCTTTCCATCGCGTGTTGAGTGACTCTAAGTATATTCATATTCTTTTTTGTGATTGTCCATGTTTATGCCGCATAAGTTAATATCGGAATAATGCATGCATCAAAAACTTTAGATCTAAGATGTAATTGAATTTGTTGATTTCTGAGTATATAGTTCAGTTTACCGAATGCTGCCCAAGCTAACTTTCTTCTTCTTTTTATTTCTTAAGTTTGAATTTCCCTATTTAGGATTATTTTTTGTCCTAAGTATATATATTCTTCAACTTTTTCTATAACTTTATCGTTTATTATTGTCACGATGTCTTCGGAGTGCATGACTTTTGTTTTGTTTAAACTCATTTTTAGTCCTATTTTAGAAGATTCGGTATGTAGTTCTAAAAGCATGGTTTGCATTTCTTGTAGGTCAGTAGCTATCAGGATTATGTCATCTGCAAATCGTAGATTACTGAGGTAGCGGTCATTGATGTTTATTCCCTTATATTTCCAATTTAGGTTTTTAAAAACGTCCTCCAAAACTAAGGTGAACAGTTTGGGTGATAAAGTATCTCCTTGTTTGACTCCCTTGTTTAATGGTACAGGGTTCGTGTGTTCATTTTCATTTGGGTAGTATGTAGCTGTAGCTTGGTTCATAGTTTCTTTTATTAAGTTAATATATCTGCTGTCTATTCTACAATTTTGCATTGCGTTTATTACGGTCGTGTGTTCTATGGTATCGAAACCTTTTTCGTAGTCTACAAATGCTAGCATTTGTAGCCGCCGCTACATGCAAGGAAACATAGCAGCCAAATGCAGTTCAGAACAAAGAAGAACCTCATTATTAAAGAACTTGTGAGATTGGTATGGTGTTGATACAAGCATGCTATTTAGGGTGGCAGTGAATAAAATTAAGATAGCTATGATGGTAACCAACGTTATGAAAGGACATGGTACATAAAGAAGAAGAAGTGAATGTCTACTCTAGGATAAGTTTTAGTAGATTTAATGTACTTGTTAAAATTGTGGTCGAGCAAAATGAACTCCTATTTTCCCTTCTCTGAAGTTTATAGCCTTCTAGGACGTTGTTTGAAGAATGTGTTGACAATTAGAATGTTGTTCTCTACGTTGAATTGTACAAGTCTATCTTTTCTGTTATCTTCTTTAGCACCACAACCAATTTTGGCGTTAAAGCCACCCAGAATCCTCGGTATCTCAGCTCTTGTCAGCCTCATTATTTCACCTTTGTTGTTATAAAATTTTTCGATTCCCATACAGGTAGATAATCTAATTCGAATAATCCAGATTATACATAAAAATATTATTTACTTACACTAATAGGTATGTTAAATCCATCAACGAAAGAAATATCATAGAAATCAAGTCCTCCAGCTCCTTTTAATGTAATTTCAGCTAGAGAAACTGGCGGTACTCCTCCAGCTCCATTACATTGTACTTTATTACCACAATCACCTGTTAGGCAATGGTTTGAACGATCGTTACACCAAGTTCTTCCCCAAAAACGTCCAGCCCACTTATCGGGAGCTATAACTGTTCTCTGTAAAACAAGAAATAAACTGTTAACTTTTCATATTAAACAATACTAGTGAGAAACTGGAAATAAATTACACAAATAATATCCCTACCGAGTGCCCTCGAGCCAGTTTGAACCCTCCACCTTTTAGATGGGGATGACCAGGATTTCCTTGGATTCCAATCCAGATTGTCCCGTGTTCACGGTTTCTGAATTCAAACTTGACGGAGGAGACTACCGCGATAACAAGAACTAGGCATACGAACTGTAACATTTCACTTAATAAAATATTTTAACGCAAACTAGAGAAAAATATTTATACTGTTGTTCTTTTAATTATTTATTCGTGTTCTATGAATTCATCAAGCAATGTGTCAAAATAACACATGTCTGCGATGAAAACACTATTTTAAAGACAACAGCTAAAAATAAAAAAATTATTAGAAAAAAATGTCCTTGCTATTTTCTTATTTCGGGCTTTTGATTACGAGTAACTGTTGTAAGCAGAATCTTACGATTAAATTAGTATATATCCTTTTCCAAAGTAAAACACTTGCATGTCACGATTTATACAATGTAACGTCACTTGCATTTAAAATTTCCAGAACATCAACCTTAGAGTTCAAATTTTCCTAACCTAGCTAATAATACGAAACCCATACGGAACTGCTCGATCTTTCATAGGCGTTAACATGTGTAATAATCAGAAAAATTTAATCATCATTATATTGGAAATTTTAGAATTATACTGATTAAATACACAAAAACATTTGTTATTATTAATAATATAAATTTTATGAAATAACTCTTCAAGTCTAATACTCCACAAAATAATAATTTTAATTAAATATATTAGACAATTATACACAACTGATACGCATATTCTTGAAATTTTATTGACAGTTAAGCGTGTGGCAAAAGTGTATAACGTGTTGCCGCTTTTTTGGAGTAGGAATTTTGTTTATGTTTTGATTTCTTACATAATTTGATAATAATATAATATATATTTATAAATTGTATTTTGGCGGCCAAAGAATGTAGCGTAGAACTATTTTAATTAATTTTAAACTGTTTGTCTTTGTTCTAGTGTAGTGTTAATACAATTTTATGTTACCATCCATGTTTATCACATTTTACGCTTGCTGGATGGCCCATATTTGACGAAATGCCCCTGAAGATGCTATATTAAGCGAAAGTACTTGAGTAAGATTTGATTAAACTTGTGCCCGATATAATTGCCTTAATTTTCAAAGTTAATAAAAAAGTTGTTGATGACTTCATGACAAACTACGGTCATATAAAAATTCAAAATGTAAGTGTACAGGCTTGAAGATTAATCACCCCTGCGGAACGGATTGTTCTTTCAAATGTGTGTCCCACCATACCGCTTAGTTTCTTAATCAACTACCTACAAAATATCGGAATTAACACGGTATCTCCAATAACATTTTTAAAAATCAGCGCTACATCACCTAAGTATAGTCGTATTCTCAGTTTCAGAAGACAAGTCTATGTAAGTCCTCATGGTATAGAACTACCAGATTCGTTTACTATAAATCATGACGAAACAACATATTGAATCTTTCTGTCTCAAGACAGTATGGTATGTTACAATTGCAAAAAGACCAGACATACTGCCCACCATAGCTGCAATGAAAACTCACAAGTTCATGTTGAAGAATGTTCTATGCAAACCAATAATGATAATTTATCACACACTGAACTTAGCAATGTCATTATTCCAACTCCAATTTCATCTTCTACAGATAAAACAAATCAATCAAACAAACATCTGATAAAACACCCAACCAAAAAACTATCACCTACAATATTAATATCACAATAGGCACAATAGGTATAAATAGTAAGCCACAACGGAATATTCAGGATATTTTTACACCGCCAGACACGGATCTAAACGAAAACCATTTTTCGACACCAGCACCTAAAATGAAGAAAACTTAGACCAGTGAAAATTGCACAGAAACCATACCATCCAGTCAAACTCTTTTCGAACCAGTAAAACACTTTATTGAAAATCAATCACAACCATTTATCCTCAATTTCGATCAAATTTGTTTACTCTTAAGTAATGTTAGTGGTATACAAAATTCCTAAAATTCAGGACTTTACTACAGATATCCCGGCACCTATTTATATCAATATGAGGTTGAATGTTCGAATAATTAAACTTTGATAGTATACAAGGCAACTATCGAACACAGTGATTAATTAAATCTTGCCCAAGTACTTTCGATCAATAGATCATCTTCAGGGGCATTTCGTCAGTTGTGGCCTATCCGACATGAGTAGAATGTCATAAATGTAAATTTGGACATAACAATACAATACACAAAGACAAACAAACACTTTAAAATTTTTTTAAAAGGAGAAGCTACATGTTATATAGAAGCCAGAGACAGAGTGGGCTCCTGGTCTGGCGGAAATATGTCCACATGTCATCTCAATATTCTTTATGCAGACGATTGGGTGGTTTATATCAAGGTCAAAGATTCTTCACTTATGTCGAAATACTTACAAAATTTACTAAAACAACTGGAAGAATGGTCCTGCGACACGGGATTTAAATTTTTTGTATCTAAAACAGTGGGAATGGTATTCACTAATAAACACGCTTTCAGTAAACCAATATTAAAGTTTTTTAATTCAGAGACATACATAAAATTCAGGGAAATGTGGTTGGACAAAAAACTATCCTGGAAGAAACACATAGATCAACTTGTCGTATCGTACAATAAAAGATTAAATATATTAAGAACTTTATCTAACAGGAATTGGGGCTCTGATTAAGATACACTAATTAGTCTATATAAAGCATTAATTAGATCTAAAATAGATAAGAATTGCTTTGGGAGCATTTAGAACAACAAAAGTAGAAAGTTTATATAGTGAAACTGGAGAGCCATCTTTACTATACCGTCGCATTTATTTAACATTAACACATACAACTTTTATAGCATCCAATCGAAATAGACCTATTTTTGATAATACATTCAATAACAAACATACACTTCAAAATAGATCTAATTCACACAAACCTTTCTATGAGAGAATTCGATTCTATCTAATATATTTAAACCTAGATTTTCCAGATATATTTCAAATAAATTTGAACCATCCTCCACCCTGGTATACCAATATCCCCAAAATAAATTATAACCTTACTGTATTTAATAACCATTCCAGAAATCCGACTGTTATTAAAAATACCCTCAATTCAATCATAAACAAACATGGAGAAAATTGCTGTAGGATATTTACAGATGCATCCAAATGCAACACAGGAGTTGGTACTGCATATGTAACGTCTAACAATCAATTTTAATTTAGACTGCCCAAATATTTCAGCATCTTCTCTGCTGAACTTACTCATAGCTCTTGAACATATCAAAAATAATAAAATACGAAAATGCTTGATACTAAGTGATTCCCTTGCAAACCTTAAATCATATGCATCCTAAAAGCCCCCTAGAAAAAATGGTAAAATCTAAACTAAAGCAAGCTGAAGAAAATTCCAGACGCATTACCTTCATATGGATCTCATCTTATATTGGTATTAATGAAAACGAAGCTGTAGACTAGTGCGCGAGCAAAGTATCGGAAAGTATCGAAACAGATATAGCGGAGTTTCGAAATCCCGCGGGTGATATAAAAACGTCTATAAAAAAATTAATTACGTGTAAGTGGAATCAACAATGGAAATATTCACAGACAGCACTACGGAAAATTAAAGACAATGTTTATCCATGGCTACCTAGAACTCGAAATCGAAAACTACAAACCATCGTTACTCGTCTACGTTTAGGCCGTACAAGATATACGCATTCGTACCTTTTTACCAGAGATAATCCCTCTAAATGTGACATTTGTGAGGAAACAAACAGTGTTAAACATTTTTTAATTGACTGTCCACTTTTTGTAAATGAACGCAACATGTCCAATATTCCAAACAATATAAATAAACTGTTAGGAACAGACTATAATTATGTTATTGTGATTGAGTGGATAATTGATGCCTGTAGATATTTCTATTATTGTGATTTTTATGGTAATCATTTTGTATGAGGGCTTGATGTAAAAAGTAGAGAGTTCGGCGGATCTATTTGCTTTATTGCAAAGGCGTACTGATCTGGAGAAAAGGTGTTAAGTGCCTTAATCTATCGACCAATGAGCACACTTGATGAGCATCACCCTGCCTTCTCTAGTTTTCCATTGGTCACTCGGCTTGAAAATTATGTATAAATATTTGTGCGATTTTAAGTCAAAGGTCCTGTCAAATATTCAACCTATCAATAAGAGTCTCTTCTTTTTAAGCAGGAGTTATACCATCAAAACCATCCGTCACCAAAACTTCAGAATCCAAAATATCATCAAAACTACTTGCTCGTCCTTCGGCAATGTATTCAACAGACACCCCAAATGCAAACTCCCTTTCCTATCCACTAAATTGCTTACTCTTGCCAGTAACGAACTCAATGATGAATACATTGATATCCTGGAGACACCTCCACTTTATTAACGCCGTAATTAATAAATTGCTCATTTTGAGCTTGCTATGACAAGGAGCGGTCGGTTTTGTCGATACTACATCCACAGCTGCCCTCTCTGCGATTTAAACATTTATATACTTATTAATTACATGCAGTCACAACTCATAACCATATAATTATAACTAATAAAATTCTGAAAAGGACCGTTTTAGCTCAACAATCCTTTCACATCTGACCACCCTAGATCCCACCTACTCCGAAGCATACTACCAGTGAGCACAAAGCAGCGACACATGCCAACACCAACAAAAGAGGTGTTTCAACTAAAGCAGAACAACAAAATCATCAACAAAGAGAATCAATTAACAGCAAAGAACTACGAAACAATGAACTAAGTCATGGGACAGTCATCCTCGGCCTATCCTAGAGTGTCTTACAATCTATGGGCCTCATGGCGAGGCTCTGCCGCATTTAACCTACTAGAGACTATGTAGCTGTTTATTTCTACATCAAAAGTTTCATGTAAGGAATTTCGATCAGTGTTTATCAAGACTTATTAGAATTCATAGAACATCTCATCTATACTTGGATATGTGTAAGGGTCACTTCGTCTGCTATACGCGAAGCCCTTTAGCAGAGCGTACAGGACGAGTAGTCGATGTTAGAAATCTAACTCCTCTGAGACTCAGTTTACTTTATCGTGTCCGGACATGTCATTCATAAAATTTCGGGCCAGTATCGGGCTACGTCGATTCCCTCTTTG